CCCCCAGCCCGCATTCAAACGCGCGGCGGCGCGGGCGGGGTCCTCCCGATGCCCGGGGGCTGGTTCACAAAGGAAAAACGCCCGCGTCCTTTCTTTTCAACACTGTGCACGTTTGCAGGAGCGGAGCACTGGGCTGGCCCGCGGAGGGCACCCACGCTCCAAAGGCGCGCACCTGCTGGGTGGGCCTCGGCTGCAGGACCCAGGCAGGTGACCGGGCCACCTACGCTCCAAAGGCGCGCACCTGCTGGGTGGGCCTCGGCTGCAGGACCCAGGCAGGTGACCGGGCCACCTACGCTCCAAAGGTACGTGCCTGCTGGGTGGGCCTCGGATGCAGGACCCAGGCAGGTGACCGGGCGTGCCACAGGGCCGAGGCCCCCGGATTGAGGCTGTCCCCTACCCCTCATTAGTTGCTCATTAGCCGGGTGAGGGTGGGACCTGGGCAGATCACTCCTCTGTCAGGAGCCTGGAGCTCCTTCCAACAGGAGGGGCTGTGGGGCCCAATCGGGGCTTCATAACCCGTGTGCAGGTGACCCCGATTCACAGGGGGCCTGGACCTGTGAGGACCGTCCACCCTGGGAAGTGGATTTCTGGCTGGGTGTACAGACCAGAAAATGGCACTTTTATCCTGTAATTCTAATTCAGGCCACAGGAATGGAAGGAGAGAGTCAGGTACACCTGTGCAGGATAAACAGGGCACCGCAGAGCGGCCACTCAGAGGTAGGCGGACACGCTGGGTAAGTGTCACGTGTGGTACCAGCCCCTCCGTACATTAATGGCCTGTGGGGAGCTTGGCTTACAGGATTCTGGTTCTAGTATCCTTCTGAACAACCATCCTTGCTAACAGCCAGACAGGCACTCAGAACAAGAGTTACTTCTTTAGAGCTGTTTAAAAATCTCCTTCAGGACACGAATGAGAAAATGTTGAGTCGATCATTTATTAGGATGGGCCCTTTTTTTCTAATGTATTATTATCATTGACAGAGTCAGGTAAAGCCACAAGGATGTTCATTTCCTCAGGGGCCGNCTCCAAAGGCGCGCACCTGCTGGGTGGGCCTCGGCTGCAGGACCCAGGCAGGTGACCGGGCGTGCCACAGGGCCGAGGCCCCCGGAGTGAGGCTGTCCCCTACCCCTCATAGTTGCTCATTAGCCGGGTGAGGGCGGGACCTGGGCGGATCACTCCTCTGTCAGGAGCCTGGAGCTCCTTCCAACAGGAGGGGCTGTGGGGCCCAATCGGGGCTTCACAACCCGTGTGCAGGTGACCCCGATTCACAGGGGGCCTGGACCTGTGAGGACCGTCCACCCTGGGAAGTGGATTTCTGGCTGGGTGTACAGACCAGAAAATGGCACTTTTATCCTGTAATTCTAATTCAGGCCACAGGAATGGAAGGAGAGAGTCAGGTACACCTGTGCAGGATAAACAGGGCACCGCAGAGCGGCCACTCAGAGGTAGGAAACACGCCGGGTAAGTGTCACGTGTGGTACCAGCCCCTCCGTACATTAATGGCCTGTGGGGAGCTTGGCTTACAGGATTCTGGTTCTAGTATCCTTCTGAAAAACCATCCTTGCTAACAGCCAGACAGGCACTCAGAACAAGAGTTACTTCTTTAGAGCTGTTTAAAAATCTCCTTCAGGACACCGATGAGAAAATGTTGAGTCGATCATTTATTAGGATGGGCCCTTTTCTTCTAACGTATTATTATCATTGACAGAGTCAGGTAAAGCCACAAGGATGTTCATTTCCTCAGGGGCCGGATATTTCACCCCGAACTCAGTGGAGTGAGTAGTTATTTAAAGGAGAGCCTGGATGGTGTTGGAAGAACCCCCAACAAAGACCTCTCTCCCAGGAAGCTACATCCCTTCCTCAGCAGCCAAGCCACTTCTTTTACCAGGCACCTGCTTCCCGGTGACCAGTACTAGGTCAGCCCAGAGAACCTGGCAGTGAAATTGGGAGGGGGTGGGCTACAGACAAACCTGGACGGGGTTCCAGTTGTGCTAACTGGTGATTCTGATGGGAACTACAGTTGTGTCTGTTGCTGCAAGGGGTGCTGCTCTCTTGGTGGCTCCAGTAGGTCACTAGCAGCTCTGCACCTGCAGCCCTGCTTTGTCAGTGCTTTCCTCCTAACGAGGAAGAGACAACGAGACTAAACACACAACACGCCCTCCGACAGTGCCAAGGGGTCTTCGTGGGCAATCCTAGGAAATTACCCCAAAGCACTGGATTCAGACACAAACGGGAAGAATGAAGAGGTCATTGTTGACGACGTTCGGTTTTGGACTGAAGACTGTGCTCTCAGGACATTAAGGAAGCACAGGCCACCGGAGAGGAAGCGGTGATGACCAGAGCCCAGAGCGAGATCCAGCCACCGTGCTCCCGTCTCAGCCCCTGACAAAAGCTATGCAGCAAACCACACAGCAAGTAAACATCTTATACCAGGTTCCCCTGCACGGACCAGACAAATTCACACACCAACCGATGAAGCACGAGTCACCTGCAGGGCATGTGACTTCTATTATGCCAATCTGAATTAGCAAAGCCCCGGGCAGTAATCCCCGCTCCAGGCAGGGCACAGCCATCGCTGGGGCAAACGTCCATCAGTGCCTGCCCTTCCTTTCTCTCTCCTCTGTGAATGGGCCTGATCTAATCACAAAACTGCCCCATTCGGGGTGGGCAGTGGTCCCTGGTCTCATGCCAGGGCCTCTGAGAGACACCACCCATGGGAAGTGAGGGGCAAACCAGGGGGACAAACAGAGACCTGCGGAGGCCCCCGAGGGACCTGCCAGTGGGTATCACGAGCCACAGAGTGACTGACAATGTGTATTTGGTGGTACTCTGGATATGGACTAAAGGTCATGATTTTACATCATCTATAATTGTTTTTTAAAAGATAGCATAAATAATTGTAGGAGAAATAAAATAATAATAAAATAAAACTCA